AAGAAAAAGCATATTTTTATATCTCTGGTGGAGCTCTTTGGACCTTAATAATGTTACTTGCGAAGGGGAAATTGTTAGCATTCATTCAACATCTGTTTCCATTCAGAAAGCAGTGCAGTTCCGTTTGCCACTCCTTCAACTTTTTTCCAGTAAATACTTAGAATGCTAAGACCACCGAAGATTTGCACCTTCCTGAGGTTTGGCTCCGTTCCTGAAATGCTTAAAACAGAAGGCTTTGGCAACATCTTTCCCAAAACATCTGGAAGCTTGCCTGCCGTCTGATCAAACCTGACTGAAGAGTCCAAGAAACTCCTGATACAATACCTTAAGCTGTCCTTCATTCATAGAAACCACCATTGCTCTGTGGTAATACTTCGTATCTCAAGCGTCTCTCCCCACCCCCCAATTCTAAATGTGAAACCATTTGAGAGACAGTTTTAGAGACCTTTTCCATATCTTAACTTTGGGTTTGAAAGGATGTGCTGCAAGCATCTTTTGTCGTGCTGTTGCATTACATCATTTAAATTTTGCTTCAGGATGTTTGTTTTGATGGTAAGCCGCTCTCTGCAAGTGGATATATTTACAGAAAAAGATGATGATAGAAGTTCTGAGGATCCTGGACTGAGTTATCTTTTCACACCAGTGTGACTGAAATAACTACCATGTGTGCAGCTCAGCGCAAGATCTGTCTGTGTCTGTTGATGCCATGTGTTTCTTTTAACTGTCTGACTTAGGGCCAAACTATACAAGATTTTTTTTTTTTTTAATGAGTTGGGTCCAGGGTTGGGCTGGCTTGGGAACATGGCACGGGGGGGTGGGGACAGAATCCCCTCCTCCCTTGTGCTGTGGTCCCAAGCCAAACTGGGCCCCTGCAGGCTTTGAAAACAGTGTTTCCCACAGCTTCTCACTTTTTCTTTCTACCGATTTGAATGTGTTGTACTCAGAGATTCATAGCTTCTGTTTAACATCTCCAGGGTTCCTTTGAAGGGAGCCATAACTTTCTTCTGGCTGTTCTGTGGAGTCTCTTTGGTTTTTTTAAGGGTCTGGGTAGAGCTGGCCCTGATTCTTTCAGTAATGGGCCCCTGTGTATGGGAGAAGAAATTGAAATCCATGTACCAGCTTTTAGTTAGGCAGATTAGAAATAACTGGACTCAGTCTGTTGGGGTTTCATCTCTTTCCC